CAGAAGGAACAAGATTTCCTTACTGTTTTCAGACAGAATGATGGTGCCCAAACCAGTATCAGGGTGAGGAACAGATGCAGATTCCTAATCAAAGTTCCCTGTTGGCCCTACGGGACTGCAAACTCAAGGGGAAGACAGGTGAGGCTGTCCTCCCTCCCATGGCTAATCTCAAGGTCCTAATCTCAAGGCTTCCCTGCGGTCCTGAGGGGTCATGTGGTAAAAACCTAGCTCCCTTTGCCCTCAGCCTGATATTCGGGAAGTACTTTTCCTGCTTTGGTTCCTGCTGCATCCCACACATACTTCACTCAGCGGTGAGCAGCAAGGACTAGGCCACCCATGAGGACCAGGAGGCTGGCCTTGGAGCTCGGTACAGAACGTGCATGAGCGGGCCAGGGATGTAGCTCAGTGGTTCCGCCCCCCTGCCTCGAAAGCGCAAGGTCCTGAGTTTGATCCCCAGTACCAAAAAGAAAAAAAGTGCATTAGCTTATTACATTGTCGTGGGTTCATTATATTGGCTAAAACTCGGGTTCCCTGCTCATTATCCCTCTGCCTGGCTTGTTCCACCCTCTCCTGAGCTTCTGGCTGCGGAAGCCTCACGTTTCACCTCTGCTGGGTCTGCCTGCTCTGTAAACTTGCTATCTTGAGATCACTGAGTCACAAGCAGCATGCTTTAGAAAGTAGGGCACTGGGCTTGGAATTCTAACCCCATCATTTTGAGACTGTCAGCTCAATTCTTGGAAACCTGTGTTTCTTTATCTATTAGGTAGAGATAAATAACTACTATCTCTTCAGGCTATGGTGAACTGATGGAAATGCCTGTCTGAGGACTCATCTGCCATCCAATCAGAGTGTGAGAGGGAGCCCTGCACCTCCCTCTTGTCTGCTTGCCAACTTTGGGAGAAGAAACCGCATACCCAGCTCTGGACCTGGCCCTCCCGTGGCTCTCATTGAGCTAGTCAGCTATGGTGAACACCGGCAGGTTTCCCCACCCCCTCACTTGTGATTGGATAAGAAAATTGGTTCCATTCAAGGGACAGTGTTAGCAAGTCACCCCCTAAATCCAAAAGCCCCATCAAATAATCAGCTTCATCAAAAAATGAATATTTCCTCTTCATCTTCTATGTCTTATTTTTAAAAACTGATATCAAAGTCTGTAATGGAGAAAAGAGGTCATTTGTTGACTTCCTAAGACTCCAACAGACTGAAGATTGCAAAGCTACATCCTCAGCACCAACAGCTGGGTCCTAGAATCCTTTTGTACCCTATGTAATTAATGCGGGGCAAATGAGCAGGCATAATTTTACCTCACATCGGCCTAATTTATGCTGTACTCACAGGCCGTATGTTAACCGGTGCCTGAGGAGGTGATCCGTTCTCCTAACATGACATCCTAATGACATTATGCTAAGGCTAATGATTAAATAATAGGCCCTGGAGGACCTGTGGATTGCTCTACTACTCAGACAGGAGAGGAGGCTTGTCCTCAGAGGGAATTAAACCAAGAAGCCATGAGACAGACAAGAGGTGGGCCATGAGGTGCAGGAAGTGCATCAGAGCTAAGCCAATGTCCATTCTTTGAAGAATTGAGTTCTGTATTGGTTATCTTGTGCTGTGTAACAAACAATCCCAGAATTCGGTACCCTAGAAGTAATCTCCATGGGGGGGGTACTGGGGATTGAACTCGGGACCTTGCACTTTTGGGGCAAGCGCCACAACCACTGAGCTAACCCCCTGGCCTATAACCTCCATTTTATTGTTTCCCCTGGTCAGCAGTTTGGAATGAGTTTTGTTGGCCTGTTCACAGGCTGGGGATTTAGCTCAGTGGTGTGGTCACCTGCTTCGAAAGTGCAAGGTCCTGAGTTCGATCCCCCAGTACCAAAAAAAAAAAAAAGAACCCTCCTGTCTACCTGGCCTCATTCGTGGGTTTGGTGATGGTGCTGGCTCTCTGCCAGGCCTTTCTCCCCTTGTGGCCTCTTATTGCCAAGATCCTAGATGACAGGGAACAAGGCCTTTTATACACACAGGCAGCAGTTTTCACATTAGCAAACAGGCACAAAGCAGAAGTGTCTCAGTTACTTTCCTGTCTCTGGAACAAAATGTGTGACATCCACTAGTTAAAGGAAGAGAGGTCTATTTTGGCTTACAGCATGTAGAGGATTCAGATGTACCCTTTCTCAGATGCTCAAAACAAAACACAAAATTAAGAAAAAGAATTTAAAATCAAGAAAATAGGGAATTTATCCTAGAAGAGTGCACAGCTCAGAATGATTGATTTTCAAAAGGCTGGCGGAACCACCAGACCATAATGGGACAAGAGGATAAAGGAGAAAAAGAGGGATAAAGGAAAGAAGGAAAGGAAAGAATGAAGGGAGGAAGGGAGGAAGGAAGGAAGGAGAGAGAGAGAGAGAGAGAGAGAGAGAAAGAGAGAGAGAGAGAGAAAGAAAGAAAATGGAGGAAAGAAGGTGTCTTAGTTACTTTTCTTGTTGCTGAGACAAAATACCTGATGTCCAAAGTTAAAGGAGGGAAGTTTTATTTAGCTCACAGTGTGTAGAGGTTTCAGTCCATAATCGGCTGGCTCCAAGGCAGAGTGGATGGCAGACAGGCATCACAGATGAGAAACAGTTCATGGTGGGCAGAAGGTAGCAAAGCAACAAGGGTTAACCAAGCTCTTTCTGTCCCTTTTACCTTCTCCAGGCTGCCTAGGGAGGGTAGTACCCACACCCTTAATCCCAGGGCCCTTGATTCTAGTACTGCACCATGAATCAATCTCAGCATCACACACTCTAGATTCAGCTACCTCCAAAAAGCCCCACCTATGACTGCATGAGGCTTTGGGGGGACATCTGGACACAAGGCAGAGCAGAAGGAGAGAGAAAAAAAGAAAGAAGAAAAGAAGAAAGAAAAGGACGGCAAGCACAAAAGAAAGAGAAAAGAAGGAAGGAAGGAAAAGAAAGAAAAGGGGGGAGAAAGAGAAGAAAAAGAAAGAAAAGTTCTATTTATGAGCATTTGGAGAAAAATGAGTACACAACAGCACTGATAAAGACAATCAGAGGAAGAAAACAGTGTTGGTGCCTGTTCAGTCTCAAGTCACTCATATTTACGCAGCGGTGACAGTGCAAAGATGGACAGGCTTGGAGAAGGGCAGCAGGCGGCCGTGGTGGGGATGCGGCCAGAGGGAAGCCTGGTTGCAGAAGCCAGAGCAGTGGGTGGTAGGGAAAAGGGCACTGTGCACCTCTGATGTGGGCACAAGGCACCCAGGGGGAAAGGGTTGCCCTGGGGAGCCAGGCTGGGGGATAGGGAAGCGACAGTGTTGTGTGTTGTCAACTACAGAGTTAACTTTCAACCTTGACAAAAGGCATGTGAACACAGAAAACAGCATCGCCTGCCTCCACTGTGGCTGGGCCTGGGTACCAGAGGTCCTCAAAACACGCAGTGCTCCCCATATCCATCTGACCCGAGTTGCAGGGCACTTGTCCAGCCCATCTAACCCTAAACCTTGGGCCAGTTCTGGTGTGTTCCCTGGTTCACAGCAGCCCTGACTTCACCTTTCACTCTGCAAACAAAGTAGGAAGCCACTGTACTAGGAGCTGCAGGGGGCACACTGCCGAGCACTTCCAGTAACCCAACGGGGCTAAATATTCAGCATACACCCAGGGCTCTATGCTCACACCATGCCTGCCATGTCCGCAGATCAAAATATCTTTTTAAATTGCCTCTACACTGAACATGTACCCATTTTTCTTGTCCTGGGATGTGTGCAGGTCTTACACAAATATTCTATTTTATATGAGATTTGAGAATCTTAGATTTGGTATCTGCTATTTTTGTTTGCTTCTGTGGTTTTTTGCAGTACTGAGGATTGAACTCTGCCTTCACACTGAACTGCAGCCTTAGCCCTTTTTTTGAGACAGGATCTCTCCAAGTTGCTTGTGACCTTCCAGAGTGTGAAGATTACAGGTGTTATCTGCAGCCAGGAGCAGGGCATGACTGTACTAGAAACAGTTTCCCCTCCCCCAGAACACTCAGGGCCCACGGTACTTCATTTTAATAATCACAGTGGTACTTCATTTTAATAATCACAGTGAGTTGAGTCACTGCCCCATATTCCAGATGAGGGAATTGACACAGAAAATAAATGACACAGCCTGGAGTGGAATCCAGGTTTTCAAGAGACCAAAGTGCAAATTTATCATCCTTCTACTGTGTCAACTCCACCCTGAGCGTGGACTTCAGCTGCCCTGAGAAGGTGCTGCTAGCTTCCTTGCCTGTGCATGTTTTCTTATCGCAGATCAATTTTTTCTTAACACTTCATTACCTTGACTGGCCCAGGTGGGCAGGGCACCAATGGTGCCATCTGCGTTCCATTTAAACCAGATCTGCTTTGACACAGCCACTGGCATTCTGAGAAACACATTTGACTAAGGACCCTGCCATATGCTTTCTCCCTGCAGCCAACCAGGTGGGTCACAAGGGAGGATGCAGAAGGCCTAGAGTGGCCCCTCGCTGCCTCTCCTCGGCGCTTCCTGACTCATCGGGAAGGTGGTGTTGGGAGAGCGTGCAAAGAGAAATCCACAGTGGAGCTGGTTACAGTTCTTTCTGCTCTGCTAGGAACAAAATGGGTGTCTGAGCTACAAACCATGAGTTAGGTGAACTCGAGGATTCTCCTTTGAGCTAAAAGGTTTGCATTTATGGTTGTGTTTAAATCTGGGATTGCACAATATGAAGATGAACTATAACTTTTATATCAATACCTTAAATTTTAATGTTTTGCTTAGCACACCCCTCCATAGCAAATCTCCATGGCCAACCAACAGACACCGGGAAAGCTGTGTTAGTGCCCATTGTTGTATTTTCCCTCTGGGTTTTTGAAGAAGGGACCCCACAGATTTCGTGGCTAACCCTGGTAGCAAGTAGTAAGGTTCAGTGAGGAAGAGGTCTCACATTTGTTAGCAAATAATTCCAAGGAAGCCCCTATTTCCCTGTGATTGAAGGCAGCATACTCCTTTGGATTTGATTATCCCTTTTATTTCCCACAACCGGTATAAAAAAAAATACAATCAATGCAGGTACAAGGATCCTAGTTTTAAAAAAATCAAGAGTGCAAAGATGGCCACAGCCACTGCCCGGGTTTTACTTACATATGTACACTGAGTGGGGTGGCATGGCCTGGAGGTGTGCTTAAAAGGCCACATCCCAAAATATACAAAGGTCCTCATTGTGTCTTTACATTTCATAGAAGAGCCCTGCCTCATTTCCAAATGAGACACTAAAAAACAAAACCAGACTATTCACCACATAACTTATGAAAAATGCTGTACAGGTGCATGACTATAAATAGCTGTTTGGGGGTTGGTATCTACATGGGGGGGTCAGGGAGGGTTCGGTTTGGTGCCCCAACCTGGTAGGATGGAGAGGATGCTGGGGGGACAGGGTCTTGGGGCACAGCTGCATCCGCCGGTTTCCTAGATAAGGCTGAAGTTCCCTTGCCGGGGAGGAGTTGAGGGTGGGAGCCGAGGTATGAGCAGAACAGGGGCTCTGGACGACGCAGGGAAGGCATCTGGGATGTGCAGGGGCCCACACTTCCGACAGATGCCTCACTGGAAGCCTTCCCCGATCGCTCCGCGGGACTCCCCAATTGGAAGGCTGGGCTGGGGGGCCTAGAAACTGGTGCTATTGCAGCTGTGCATGCGAGTGGCCGGGTCACACTCTAACTCTCCCTGTGTGGCCCTGTCAGGGGAAGAGCTGGGACACACATGTGACTGTTTCCTGACAGGGAACACATTGCTATGAGGCAGTGGAAGGCTGCAGAAGCAGAAGGGTGGAGCCCTGGACCCCGGGGTCCACAGCCTCAGGCTGCCGCTAGAAGGCTGTGATGGTGAAGGTGCTCTTTGTATCCAGGGCATCGGGGTGGGCCTTGCCCTCACCCCGGACATCCTGGCTCATGGCTATGCTGAAGACCTCGGGCCCCTTGATGGGAACCTCTGGCTCCTCCTTCTCCTCCAGGTCCTCACAGCATTTGCTGCAGTGGCAGCACTTGGTGCAGCCACACATGAGGCAGCACACGCGGCAGCACATGCGGCAGCAGCAGCAGCAGCGCCGCTGGCAGCAGCTGGTGAGCAGGGAGATGACACGGTCCCAGGGCTCCAGCGAGTGCAGCCACGAGGGCAGGAAGCTCCAGGAGCGCAGCTTCTGAGGCAGGACTCCCGGGCAGCGGGACTGCAGCAGCCGCAGGCACAGCACCAGGAGCAGCAGCAAAGCGATGGGCACCCCTACACCCACCAGCACCGGCCAGCCGGCCAGCGAGAGGCCAAACACCGCCAGCGGGGTCAGGAAGAATAAGAAGATGAGGTAGACGATGGCGAACCAGCGGTACTTTGAGGAGATGTTGCCCAGGCCCTTGGCAAGGCGGATGGGCAGGCGGGTAAATGGGATCGGGTACCACAGCAAGATGCCAGATATGTTGAAGAAAAAGTGGCACAGGGCGATCTGAAACACAGGAAGTCACACAGGTTGGACAGGTTAGGGGTCAGGGAGGAGGAAGTTAGGTTCCTGGTCTAGAGCTTGCTCTCTGAAAACCTACTGTGCTTGTGTGTTGGGGGGAGGATGAGGCCAGCAAAGGGGACTGGATCACAGTCAGCTTCCAGGGCCTGAATCCATCTAACAGTGAGCTTGCCCCTTCTTCCCTGTCCCCGGGGCCCACTGCCTCCAGCTGAGCTTCGAGTTGATAGCCAAGGTGGGCCAAATGGCACTCGCCTGCAATCCCAGCATTCTGGGAAGCTGAGGGAAGAAGATGACAAGTTGGAGGCCAGCCTGGGTAACTTAGCAATAGCAAGATGCCATTTCAAAATTTAAAAAATGAAAAAGGACAAAGGACATATCCTCAGCGTGAAGCCCCAGGGTTCGATCCTCAGTACGGCCCCCCAAAATGAGTTGATGGGCAGAAATGAAGGCTCAGAGCAGCACTGGCCATCTGCTCAGTGGCTGTTCTAAGGCTGGGAGAAAGGTAGGCGGTTACAGCAGCAGTGACGGGTAGTGTTTGCCACATGTGGGGTGACTTTTACATGGTTTATCTCAATCCTCAAAACAACACCCCCAGAAACACCAACCAGGGTTACTTCCCATGAGGTTCTGCTACTTTGCCAGTCACACAAGTGGGAGGTAGAGAGACAGGAGCCAACCCAGACACTTAGCCACTTTCTCACGGGTGCCACGAGGCACCATGCGAGGAGCTTTGGGTCACCCTTGTCCGGTACAGTAGCCACTGTAGCCACCGGTGCCTGGGGCTGGGGTAGGGTGATGGACCCCAAGGGTAAAATCCAGGAACGGGACTTCAACAGCTCAGCCCATTGAAATAACGTTATATATCTCACCAGTACAAAAATGATAAGGGATTGAATCAAATACATTATTAAAATGAACTTCCCTGTTTCTATTTCCTTTTTAAAAATGTACTGCTAAAACATTTTAAACTGCATATGCAGCTCCAATTATATAATATATATTTCTGGCTTTCCTAATCCTAATAAGATAGGAGTCATATTCTCCATATTCCAGATAAGGAAACTGATGCTAAGGGGCTTCGGTCACCCAGTGAAGGTCGATGAGTGTGTAAACAGCTTTAAATCCCCAAAGTCTTTCCTGGACGACAACGTGGCTGATCCACGCCAGGCAGGAACCCTGCTTCACCTTGTAATGCCAGGCCCCGTTTCTCTAACCACCTCAGGCCATACCCCAGCAGTTTCCCAAGAGGAGGTGGACGATGGTGTCCAGGCTTCCTGCCCACTCTTTGCAGTTCTCTATTAGGAGGCCCCTGCCTTTAAGTGACCACCAGGGACAGGAGTCTTGCTACCATTCTAAGGTCCAGATAGCTTTGGCTGTTCTCACACTGAGCTACTCAATTCCATCTCCCTGTGGTTTTCCCAGGACATCTCAGTCCCATCTTTTGGACTTAACAGAAAACCTGGCCTTGTTAGAAGCCAGTTTGCAAGGCCATGGATGGGGCTGCATCCCACCCCCCGGCCCTGGCCCTGACCGCGGCCCCAGCAGTGAGTCCTGACCTGGAGTGAGCTCATCAAGGTGTTGCCTGGGCTGGCCAAGGCAGCCATGATGGCGGTGGTGGTGGTGCCGATGTTGGATCCCAGCGTGAGTGGATATGCCCTCTCGATGGTTATCACGCCGATACCTGGGGGTGGAGGGGACCATGAAGCACATGGCATTGGCCCGAGGATGACAGGAAACAGCAGTGGTGGCCCAAGAAGCCGTGCAGAAACTCACCAATCAGCGGGGTCAAGGCAGACGTGAACACGGAGCTGCTCTGCACGATGAAGGTCATGCCGGCCCCCACAAGGATGGCCAGGTAACCAGTCACCCAGGAAAAGGGGAAGGGGAAGTCTGCAAGACAGAGGGAGCAGGGCGTTTCACAGAAGGCAGGAGCTGGGAGCCCAGTTTGCACCTCCTTAGGTCCCCGGTAGGCAGGGCTGGGCTGGAAGATGAGGTTGTGGCTGTATGTGGACCTACTACCCTCCACCACAAAGTGCACAGGGCACTTAGACCCCACTTCCTTCCTGTGCTGGTTCCCCAGGCACTTTGTACCTCTGTCTCCACCTAACAAAGCATTGAGAAAATGCAGCGGCTTGGAACAACATCGTGAACCTGCCCTCACCGCATCTGCACCACTGGATTAGGCCCTGTGTGCCTGGCCAGTGTCCACAGTCACTCAGTTCAGTCTTGGGACAGCCTGGGGGCGCAGGTGTTCTTGGCTGCATTTCAGTGAATTTCAGGGGTGACGTCATTGCTCCGTAAGCTCTCATTGGCCAGGAGCCCTTACTGGGTGAGACCTCCTCTTGGACAGGAGCCTCATTGGCTGCCTCAGGAGGCTGGTGTATTTATCCGGAACCACATTTACTTCTGAGACAAAAGGTAACTGGTGCTGAGGGGGGATGCATGTCACCCTTTGCCCATCACCTGAGGGCTCCTGATAGACCCAGGAAAGCCTTTGGAATATAGAAAACCTGCCAGGATGGAAGGCTCTACTCATGCCCCCCTGAGTGTGAGCTGGCTCCTTCTCTGGGCCTTGCTGACCTTCAAAGGAAGCTTGTGTCTGCTCCCCAGATGCACCCAGGACAGAGAAGAATTCCTAGGACAGTGGCATCTTAACTTCTGCAGCTTAGCAGATCCAAGAAAGAAACTCCAGGAGGCACCCATTGCAAGATGGAAATCAAAGGATCCCTTGGGGTGGCCATAGGGCACCATTCCTAAGCAGGCCAAAGTGGGCGGAGGGCACCTACCGGTGTTGATGGTCTTCTTGATGATGGTAGCCACCTGGCCCTTGAGCACAGAGCCCAGGAGCTTGACGATCATGATCAGACAGCCGCAGAGGACCAGCAGGGAGATGATGAGCAGAATGATGCCCACAGCAAGGTCTGGGAGCTGGGCATTCACAAAGATATGCTTGCCTGAAGAGACATGGACAGCCCACTTAGGACAGGGAGCAAACAGAACTGCAGATTCCCCCCAACATTCTTCTCATAGGGACAGGATCTCAATCAGTAACTGGACACACAGCAGCTCGTAATGAAGTCGGCCTTCCCAGCAGCCTCCTTTGCAGCTAAGTGTAGCCCTGGGAGGAGCATGTCTGTGGCCAGTTGGCCCTCCTCACATCACAGTACATTGGACATCCAGCCCACTTTGTTTACCTCTGAAACCCATGCTGCTTTTCATAGCCACCCAAGCTCTGGAGCTGTTGCCAATTGTAAGCCTCGTTTTCAACATCTTAATATGTCCCCATGGTAATTCCAGAAAAGCATGGTTTGATCTATGGATGTACAGCCCTTACAATATTAGAGCGTGTGTGTGTGTGTGTGTGTGTGTGTGTATGTGTGTGTGTGTGTAGGGGGGAAATGCACCCAGTGTTATCAAGGTATGCTGCTCAGAGTAACTGTCTGCTCAGAGTAACTGTCGTCGGCAGGGCCAGGGGAGAAGCAGAGATATGTAGAAGGGTGTATGAGGGAAGAGGGTGTATAAGGAATAATTAGATAAACTAAGTAAGGATATGTGAGTTGGAAAAGATTCCAGGGGTGACATGGCAGCTTCTTAAAAGAGTCAGAGTAGCTGGGTACAGTGGCTCACACCTATAAATCTAACTACTTGGGAGGCTGAGGCAGGAGGATCACCAAGGTTGAGGCCTGCCTAGCCAACTTAGTGAGACCCTCTCTCAAAGTAAAATAAAGCAGAGATGGGGATGTAGCTCAGTGGTAGAGTGCTTGCCTAGCATATGTGGGCCTCTAAGTTCAGTCCCTAGCACTGCGAAAAGGAGACAGAGAAGAGATGAAGAATCAGAGCTCCTGCCTTGTCAGTGTTACAACCTGTGCCCTGCATGGGACCTGCTGCATAGATAGAAGAGACCCATGGAAAAAAACGTTTATGGACCTCACATCATCCTCCCAACTGGCTGTCATCTCCCCAGAGTCGGTGACATGGAGGGAACTCCTGGAATCAGGTGGACTACCGTGGTAGAGGACTAAGTTCAAATTCCAATTCTGCCACTTCCCATGGGACCCTGTGCCTGTCACCTTGCCTTCCTCCACCATGGCAGCACATTGCTCCATGCCTGGGCTCGGCTGGGTGTTCAATGCCTCTTGGGGCCTTCTTTCCTTCCCTTACCGGGTTCCACACAGCTAAGAAGCCCGCCTTGTGTCCCAAGATGGCCCATCTCAGTGGCCAGCACAATGTGTTCCACTCACACTTAGCAATGTTCTCCTGCTGGGTCACATTCTGCAAGGTCCAGGTCAAGGCACCATCCGTCCAACAGAATGAAGAGGAGGTGCAGTTCTCAGATGAGGGGACAGTGACATTTTGCTGTGTCTAAATGACAAATACAGGAAGTGTCCACAACACTGACTGGTAGCGGGGAAAGCAGGCGGGGCAGGGGGCAGAGGAGACACTGGCATATGCGGTGGCTGTGTCCCTAACCCTCCTTCCCTCTCTGGACTTATTATTCATCTTTATGGATGGATAGTGCTCTTGGAACAGCTGAGACAAATGAAATCAGCCACCACCATTTAGAAACACCTAGTTTTTGTGCTTTAGTCTCAAGCATTTAGCACCCCCAAAAAAACAAAGGACATATACACCCTGGAGGTACAGATGAGCCATATCTTCCTCCAACACAGCAGGCTGGGTCAGTTTCTCATGTGGGAGGGCAGAAAACTGCGCACTTCCTGAGAGGGAACATTCTAGAAGAGTCTGGAAAGTGCAAGATGCCACCTACTGCCAGCACCTGTATGGTGTGATGCATGGATCCCAGGGACCCTTAAAAATGGGCAAACAAGCAGCCAGGGATCTGCCTTTTTCGGGAGACACAAAAGTAGCAAGAGACCAGGAATAACATAGCTGCAGCATGGCATGGTCCTACTGCCTAAGCCCAGCCCGCCCTCAAGGACTTGTTTCCAAAAAGACTCTCGCAGTCCAGTTTTGATTTTCTGGGAGCCTCCACTTTTTCTTCCCCCTGACCTTCTCTTTTCCACCATGAGTCAAAGACTTAGGGTTTACATTTCAAGATTCACCTGCCAAGCAGCATTTCTTGGAAACTTACCACATAGGTAATGGACTTGCACCAAATCTTGATCAGGCTCTTGTTTTGGGCTTCTGGGTCACTCATTGCAATCTGGTTGATAAGTTTTTTGTCCAGCTGAGGAAGGCAATGAAGATAGTCAGTACGTTCTCAGGACAGAAATGTCAGTAGGTGGTTGCTGCTAAAGGGTCTCTGGGAAGATGAACTTAACCATGAGCCCCTGTAGGCATCATCTGGGACCCTTCAGGGAGCAGCGCCAGACAGTGCCAGACCTGAGCAGGTGCTCCACACAGGGATGAAATGTTTGGACGAACAAAGGCTTTGGTCTCTGGGAAGCAGGCTGTAGCTACTCATGGCTTACCAGAAGACAGGAAACCAGAAGGTATGAGCAAAAGGTCAAGGTCCCAGCTAGCCTTTTCTCCCCACAGAAACATCCACAATGCCTTCTTCCATTTCAATATAGTCAGCCATGAGAGACCAGAGAGGCAAGGTGGGCCCTGGGGAAAGGCAGTACCCTTCTCTGGCTAGGATTGGAGGAATACTGTATCAGGGAGCCCACGCAGGGGACAGTAAAAGATGACACCTCTTGATGTTAAGAAATACTGAACGTGAATTGCACTATCGAGTGTCTGTGGGCTGGGGCTGTGGCTAAGTGGAAGAGCACTTGCCTAGCATGTGGGAGGCTCTGGCTTGGATCCCCAGTAGCACACAGAAAGTGTCCTTGAAGGGCTGGCTGCCTTCACTCCTGCTCCAGAGGCAACCCCCAGTGTTCACGGCGCCCTCTGTGTGCATAGGCTCAGGGGTGGGGCTGGAGGAGGCTGGGGAATGGTCACCTGGACAATGAGCTTTGTGAAGGGGTCTGTGATGACTTTCAGAAGGGCTGGGGCATCTTCTCCGTTCTGGAAGTTCAAGGTTTTCACCATGAGCCCGGTCAGCCTCTCCAGGTAGTGGGTGATGGCCTCCAAGGGCAGTAGCACCAAGACCGACAGCCAGTTGAAGAAGTCATGGACAGTGGCCCCTGCAAAAGCTCTATGGGAGAGAAACCCACAGCCAGGTCAGTCGGTGAGTTGGCATTAGTCTCTTTGTTGCCACCCATCTGTGTACACGTGGGTGTACGTTCCTCTCTCCACCCTCACAGCAACCCTGCAAGTGCTCGACGTTAATATTTCCATCGGGCAGGTGAGTCAGGTGAGGGCCAACCGGCAAGGTCAGGTTGGAGTATTTAACAGCCTTGTTCACAAAATCTGCATCAACATGGATTCTGAATCTCATACACCTTTCTCTTGGAAAGGTGGAGATCAGGAGGCAGGTAACCAAAGCGCTCTACCTAAATGAATTCTTAACCTTTAAAAATATTCTGAGAGTCTGGTGAAGCATATGAAGTCTCCATAGGAAACAAGGCTGCTATTTGCTACCCTTTGCATCTGTTCACAACTTCAAAGACTCTCTGAATTCCATCCTGTCTGCAGGTTACATTTTCCTTTAAAGAACATCTGGAGGTCAGAAGGCACCCCAAATCATATGGAATGTGGGAGATGAACAGATAGAAGAAGCAACCATTACGTGGGAAAATGCTTAGCTTCAGGAGTAGTAAGTTTATTTGCAAGTGCAGATTTTCACCTGTTAGATATTGCACCTATTTTCATCACATTGGCTAATATTTTTAAAGCATTCTTATTCTTCCTGGAGAGGATGATCTAAGACACTTTCGTACACTCCTGATGTATATAGTGATTAAAATATTTCAAATATTTCATAGTAGTTTGAGAAAATATTTTAAAAACCTTATAAATGTTTAAGACAGTAATTATTATCCTAGGAATCCAAGGAAATAATCTAAGCCATTATGATATATATCCCAAGGAATTATTGAACAATGTTGAAGCATATTGAAATATCCCAAACGGGGAGTCAATTGTATTCCTATAAGCAGGTACCTCCATAGATCTTAAATCTATGTCTCTCAGGTTACCTGGAGGCAAACAGTGTATCAGTGTAAAGTACCCCAAATCTCAAACAAAAAAACAGCATCCCAGCTACATCTCCCAGTGAAGTCACCTGGCCTCCTTTAATTTCAGCATGAATACAGTGAGGCATGGAAAAGCCTGCTTGGCTTCATGAGTTCAAATTAGAAAACGCCCATTTAATGTGTATTATTATGGCCATCAGGGAATTTCATCAGGAACCAGGGGAGTGGCTCAGGACAAACGACCAGCTGCCATGATATCTCCCAACTGCACACTCACCAGCAGACCGGGGTGACGTCTCCCCACCAGTCTGTTGGAATGCCAGCAGCCTGACCACACCAAGATCACATCATAGACAACCTGAGGATTGCTTCTTTCTGCATTTTTTTGTTTTGTTTTGTTTGTTTGTTTGGTACCAGGGAATTGAACTCAGGACACCTTGCACTTGCAAGACAGGTGCCAGAACCACTGAGCTAAATCCCTGGCTGCTTCCGCGTGTTTTTATAAACTCTGGTAAAAATCCATCACCAGTTAGGAGAGAAGCCTGAGATGCATTTAATTTTCACCTTTTTGGAAGAAAAGGGTTCCCCTTGCTTATTTATATTCAACCAGCTCTATCTTCAGATCCCCTCAAAATTACATTTTGCCTTTTATTGAAGTACAAGTAAAGAAAAAAAAAAGTGGAACAGGCCAAGGTGATCCAAATATATATATAGAAATTTTCTGAAGTTATAATTATTTATGACTAGGCAAGATGGTAAACCCTACCCTTCCTGGCTTTGTTTCAACCCCACCACCCAGCAGCTGAGTTTCCAGCTAGAGCTCATGGTTAGTGAGCCCTGTCTAGGTGCCAGGCATTTGCCAGACACTTGGTGTGTGACTATGTTTAATCCCTAAGATAACACGGGGGTGGGAAATGCTGTTATTATCCTGGTGGTGCAGACCAGGGAGTGGAGTTCCATCAACTGGAAAGTATGTGATTCCCAACCTCAGCTGCTCTCCCCTGTGGCCACTTCCAGGAGCTCCAGGAATGAGCCTGGCCATGATTCAAACAACAGAGCCACTGATGCCCAGGGCTGGCCCCGAGCCTCCTACCTTCTGAATTCATTCCGGTCCCCCGCCTGCATGAGCGCCACAATGGTGTTGGTGATGGAGGTCCCGATGTTGGCCCCCATGATGATAGGCACGGCAGCCCGCACGGTCAGCACTGGAGGGGGAAGAGCCATTAGCGAGCTTAGCAAAGCAGGTTCTGACATGGGCCAGGCAGGCCCAGCTCATTCCTGCTGCAGATGCCCTAATGCTCCAGTTCCTAACCTCTTGGGGGTCATGCACTTCACCGCATAGCTGAGGACAGCCAAGGCAGGTCACCTTGGAGTTCTGTGTGTGTGCCACCCCCAAATCCTGCACACAATTTTGGGGAACCCATGGACCCCCTGAAGCCCTCCTATGGACCCCGGCTTTAAATGGCTTTCTAACACTAAAAAATGACTTTCGGTAGTAGTCCCCTCTTCTCTACTACAGAGGCCAATTGTAGGAGACAAGGAACCAGCCACGAGTACACAGGTGAATGAGTCTGAAGGGTCACGGATCACAGGTACTTGAGAGTCCATAGAACACAGCAGCACTTAGTCTTTGCATCTAAGGGGCCATCATCCACTTGCCAGACATCTAACACTTGGATATTTGTAAGACAAATTCCTGGCAGGATCATTTCTTTTGCTGACAAAATCACCAGGTTGCCACAATTTTCTGACATGTGAAAGTAACATGCTTTAGCCAGGCATGGTGGTCGGGGCTATAATCCAGCAGGCTGAGGCAGGAGGAACAGAAGTCCAGCCTGGGCAACTTAGCAAGACCCCATCTCAAAATAAAAAATATTTTTAAAAGGTCTGGAGACATAGGTAGCTCAGCGTAAAAGCCCTGGGTTCAATCTCCAATATCAGAGTGAGAAGGAAAGTAACATGTTTTGAAGAACTAATCTTTTTCTAACCTGCCTCAGAAAAATTTCAGTTTATTGACTAAAACTTGGTTAAAGATGAAATCTGTTCATGCTGACCTTTCCTTTCACCCCAAGGTCCATCCCTAATTACTCAGAACAAGCAACAGGCAGGTACAAGTTTGGAATGACATCTCCCCAACCCAGCTATCTGAAACCACGGGGGATGCGGTCAGGTATCTCTGTGGTTGGCTCTCAGAGTGGCCTTGTCCGAGGAAACTTGCTACACTGATGGGACTATTCCATGGGTACAGGGCAGTATGGTAAGTGCCAGCCACACGTGGCTATTCGGCCCTTGAGATGTAGCTGGTGCAACCGAAGGATTGATTTTTACATTTCAAACTTATCAAAGTGAAAATGAGATTTGATAGCCACATGGTTGGTAGCTGTCGGACTGGACACTATAGCTCTGGAGACTCCAGAGCAGAGTTGTAGAGTGGGAATCATTTTCAGGCTCGGCCATCCAATCAGAAACAGGAGGCCGCTGGGATGGAGGGAGGAACACACTGTGTGGTGGTTGGACAGGACGGGAGTGTTGGAGTAAGGTTGAGGCCCCCAGGTGGACAGGGTGGCCGGGGGCACATGTGCCCATGATGCCCAGACTCACATGAGGAGGCCACCATGCTCACGACGATGGACGAGGAGGTGCTGGAGCTCTGCACCATGACGGTCACCAGCACGCCGATCATCAGCCCCGCCACGGGGTTGGACAAAATAGAGTTGTTGCTGAAAAACTGCCCAGCCATCTTTCCTGAAAGGCAAGCCAACATCTATGCGTCAAGGGGCAGTTGGATGACACCAAACACAGGTCTCCCCAGGCTGGCTGAGCAGCCGGTGCCCAGCCTCCAGCTGTGCCGGGGTCCATGGAATCAGCTTCTCCCTGCACTGCCCTGATAGGTGGGAGCCCTGCAGGCTTCCTCCTGTGCCTCTGCTCTGCCTGACCTGGCTCCCAGCCTCCCACTCGCCCTTGCTCCTCATGTCCCTTCACCCTGCAGCCTCCCACCCTTAAGCTGCTCCTCCCAGGAAGGAATGTGAGCTGCTCAACTCCACTCCAGGCCAGGTGGGTCTCCTGATGCCCAACTCCTCTGCCTCGGAGATGTGCTCCCATGCTGAAGAGTTCCCTCCAGCCTTAGCCCTAGCCTGCCACTGATGTTGGAGGTGCCATGGTGGGGGCGGGGGGTGAGCCCTTCTCTGCTCCCATGGATCCAGGCAAACAGAAGCAACAGCAGGAAATCAGCGGCCCTCACACTCCCCCAGGAGTGCCCCCTGCGGAGTCCTCTAGATCATGACACCCTGATGGGGTGCGGGGAAGAATCCCACCCAGCTCACCCGGGCTGAGTCTTGGGGCTGCCTCAGGATCTGGGCCCAGCCCTCTGCTCTAGATGGGAGGGGGTGTTTGATGGGGCCCCGGGAGGCAGGCCGGGTGTGCCTAGGGAGTCCAAAGGTAGCAGAGCACACATGGTGACCTCGCTCCTGGGTCCTTCCATGCTGCGTGGCCACTCAGCCCTGGGAGGTGTACACTGGGGGCACAGGCTGGACCTGGCTTTGATCTTTCCTACTCGTTTTGGTTTAAGGGAACCTTCTTTCTCCATCAATAATCATCTCGGAGCAGAGAAGTCGAGAGACAGCAGGGACCCCTCTGATCAAGTCTGGAGGTCAGACAGCTTCCTGCCTGGGGCTTGTGAACAAAGGCAGGAGGCTGATAGCTGGGGATTGGCTCCAGCCCCGGCCTCTGACCTAGGGTCACTGAGCCAAGCCACAGCTCAGCTTCAGGCCTTGGTGTTCTCCTCTATACAATGCAGGGCGTGGACAGCACAAGGTGATTGGAAGTAGACTCCTGTCCTGACTCAGAGGGCTGCAGCTCGAAAGGAGTTGACTTGCTGTGACTGTCTGATCCTACGTGGACCACAGCACCCGCACCCCGGCCCCAGATCCAGTGTCCCTACCTCCAACCAGCTGGAAGGCACTGCTGAGGACATCCAGGGAGCACACGAAAAAGTAGAGGAATCCCAGGAGCAAGATGAGCTTCCCAATCCCCTTGAAGATGCAGAGAATCTTCCCCTTGGTGTCTCTCTCTGCCGGGAAATGGGGAGGCCACAAGGTTGTCGGAGAATGTGACTGACATTTCGGGAAATTCCTGAAGCGAGCTCACAGCACCCCCCGCCTCCCCTCCGGGCCAAGCCGCCCTGGAGATGGAACACGTCCATCAATCACTGCCATGTTCAGTGGAGCTGCCACTGCGGCCCATTCCATGGAACCCACTCAAAGAGATGTACACTTGGGAGGAGGGGTTCAGGGCAGACGGGCAGACAGGCGCCATGCTTGGCTGAACCACAGCGCAGCCTGCAGAGTGCAGAGTCAGAGACCATGGCCCTGCGAAGCACCTTCAGGTATTTCCTAGATGGGGCTGCTCAGTAGCAACTGTAGCCTTGACGTGTGGAAGGCTTGGCCTCTGCCTGCAGCAAGGCCTCAGCCTCGGCTACAGCTTCCTCCACTAACTTTTACAGTGATGCTCACCCCCTCCCTTCCCTCATCCTCCCTGCCTATCTACCTGTCTGGCCCACTGGCTGACCTTACACCCTACACTTGGAAAGCAATGCCCACAGCCCAGCTGTCTGAGCTGTGTGTTCTGTCTTCCAGAGACGGGCCGGGCCTCATGCACACTGACTGAATACAAGATCTCCCAATCACCAGCGTGTGGACACTAACTCTCCTACTGAGGTGCATCCCTAGCCAGGACCCTGCTTCTCAAGGTATCAGAACAGTGAAAAGGGACAGTGACCCAAAGAGGGTATCAGTGAACACCAGGCAGGGCCCCTCCCAAGGCCCTGGGGCCTGGCCTTTACCTGACCACTTGATGCCAGTGTCCTGGAGCTCAGGCAGGTCCCAGGGGTCTTCCACTGTGGGGGGCTCCTCTATCAGTGCCACGGTGGAGTAGGAGGGCAATAGCTCAATCTTGGCCACTGAAGTCCCACTGGCATCTGCTCAGAGAAGCAGCAAAGGCCGTGAGGATGCTGATGGAGTCTCCTGGGGGCCTCACAGGGCCCCCAACCCCAGTGGCACTTACTTTGGTCCGTGTCTTTGCCTTTGGCATCTGTGCTGGGCTGCTGACTTGTGCCCCCTTCAGTGAATTTCTCAGGGTTAGGCTGGGCATTTTCCAACTTAGGCCAAGGAGCCATGGTCTGTGGGTGGAAAGTCAGAGCTTAGAGACGCAGCCACCAGGGGAGGTGTCGCCAATTGTCCCAAGAGAAGCCTCTCTCAGGAGGGTGGAAGGAAAGGGTGGCATGCTCAGACCTCCCAGAGTGGAGGCTGGAGGGCCCTGTCCCCAACCCCAGCTGTCCCTGACCACGTCCTGCAGTATTTGCCCCTTCTGGCCTCACATCTAGATAAGAAGCCCCGCCTCCTCTGGTGTCTCTAACTTGCCCGTCTGTGTGTACTGGGGGCCTCTGAGCAGAAAGTGTCAGTTTTCTGTCTATAAAATGGGCTAATTCTTCATACCCCACAGGGTAAGGGGAGATTACTGTGCGATTCAAGGTCTGGACAGTGCCTGGCATGGAGCGGGTTTCTGATGAATAGCGATTACTATTCCCCAGGCCCTGCCACCTGGCTGAATGACCACTCATCAGAGCCACCCTGTTCACAGCCTTTGCCAGAGATGTCCTCAAACCCGCTTTCCCCACAAAGCCATTCTCGGTGACAGGGCTCAACACACCTGACTGCCCACTCCTTACACACCCTGTCTTCTGACGCACCTTATTGAAATCCAAAGAACAGAAAATTCACAGAAAAGGAAGTACAAATGCCTAAAAATCTTATTCAAAACTAAGAGTTCACCCTTGTTTTTAGTAACATATGTCCGAGTTTAATATGCTGTCCTGGAGACATCGCTGTGTGATGAGCACTAGGTCGGATGCAGGTGGGCTTCTGTCTGTCTCTGGCCCAGTAATTTCACTTCTGGGAATTGGAAACCTAGAATATTTGCTCTCAGACAAATATCTGTCTTGTCCCGATCATTTTTTCCAAGAGTTCCCCAGAACTTGAGTCAGTCTGATGTCTTCTTTTTCTGAAATCAATCTATTTTACTTTATCTTAGGGCCCAAAGGTCTGCCTGGCAAATTGATGGAGCCCAGGAAGCCCCATCCTGAGGAGCATCGTGTGCGAACACCTAATTGAAGGAGCGACTGAATCAACAATCAATGAGTCCAGCCCTGGAAGGAAGTGCCTAGCAGTGAGCTGGTTCTGATGAGAGGCCCTACAGTCTGCAAGGGGGGAAGACGCTTCAGGGCTGGGAGCACAGAGCTACCATCCCATGGCCCCTGCGGCCAGCAGGGCCCATGGCAAATGTGCAGCAGCCACCACTTCAAATTCACTTCAAATCCAAATTCACTGATGTGTCACCCTTTCCCCAGCCACCTCCTATACAAAGCTTTCCTGTTGGTGTCTCCTGTCACCATTGCCTGGACTTTCTGAGTCCTCTCTGATGGCCTCATATCCCATCAACACAAGGATAAGGACCTGTGGGCCCAGCAGCAGCCTGTCTGCCTGCCTGGCTTGACTCCCCACACGTGAAACGCACCCCTGGCAGGGTCTGGAGACATTTGCTTTTTGGTTAATCGGTTAGTAGGAACCATGACCATTTAATGAGCACCAAAGAGCTGCCAGGCGCCATGATAGGGCTTGACATACATTATCTCAAGACAGGAGTCATGACCACACCATTGCAAAAGGAGCCCAGAGCGGGCAAGAGCAACCCTTACAAAGCTGCCAGCAGGAGTGAGGAGTGGGGTGGGCACAGAGGGCAGAGAAAGCCAGCTTTGCCCATCAGGGACACTGGGGCCTCATCCACATTGACAAGCTGGCATCAGCATGACTCATCTCCCCACAGCACATATTTTACCCACGGAATTGGGGCAAGAATGTTATCCACTCAACACAGTATTGACAAGGAGAAGCCTGTTTACTACTCTTGGCAGTGCAGATATTCTGGGGACACCCTCCCCACACTCCAGCTTTGATAACCAAATAGGAAATATCTCCAGACCCTGCCAGTTTATCACTTAGGGGCTGAGCACCACTGTTCTGGAGGTTAAGGAACTGGACTTTCAGATCCCAAGTCCTTGGTTCAAAAGTCCCAGCTTTGCCTCTGTGTCCTGGCCCTTCTCTATCTCAGTTTACCCATACATAAAATGAGGACAAGGATACTTAGGAGGGATTATTGAAGATTAGATGGGTGTGGTAGCTCATGCCTATAATAAGCCCAGTGTTTGGGAAACAGACAGGAGGATCCCGAGTTGGAGACCAGCCTGGGCTACATCTGAGCTCGAGGCCAGCCTGGATGGCAGAGACCCCGTCTCATCCCCAAAAGAGAAAAATCTAAAAAGCAGGGCACAAACGCACACAAAGCTCTAAGCTTATGTTACCTACAGATCTGCATGGGTCTCTGCTCTTGGAGGCAAATTGATGGAAATTTTTAAAATTATAACTCTCTGCCAGTTTTTTCTCTTAGAATCTTAGACTCCAGGGTTGCTTTTCTCTCTTATCCACATGTCTGCCTTCTAGAAGGTCACAATGCACTTCACTTGGTCCTTGGCGATCAGAACCAAAAACCAGCCAAGTCTTCCTGCTAGGCCTGTCCCTCATCACCAATGTAAAATGCACTGGAGGGAGCAACTGGGAAACACCCGTCTACAGTAAAGTCTAAGGAGGATGATTATTGGCCTGCTGTTTAAATTATGTTTTCGGTGGCTGCTTAGCATCCTTTTCCTTAACAACTGGACAAAAAGGTGCCTCGTGAATACAGAAACATCCAGGGCCCAATAAAAAAGGGAAGAAAGGACTAAACCATCCAGGGCCCAATATCACAATCACCGCCCATTTGCAGAGAACAGACCAGAAAAGAGCAGAGAGCCAGTGGCCCTGCCCTCACTACCTCTGTGACTTGCAGGACCTCGCTCACCATTTAGTCACTGCCACCAGAAAGCAAAGACACATTTCTATTGAATGTCCCTGCTTCTCCTTCTCAGAAGTCTTTCTTTTCCCTATTCTGAACCCAACTATCGGTTATGAAACACTCCCCTGATGAAGCAATGATTTCCTGCACTGGAGGCTTCCGCTTCAGGTACTCTCCCCACCCCCTCCACGGCAACAGACCCTAGCAGACCCAAGGCAGCCAGAAGCCCCACACCTCGCCACTGCCCCCTCTCGGGGGGACACCCAGCAAAGCCATCTGACCCGGCCCTTGCTCAGACTCCTGGCCACTCCCTCCTGACCCTTCCGCCCCCACAGCTCCAGCTGCACCTAGGAAGTGGGAATGTAGGGCGCCTGGCAGCCACCCAGCCGCTCTGCTCCTCAGCTCAGGCACACAGGCCCCATTCACCAGGTGCTCCTGGCTGTTTGCAGACTGACCCAGAGCACATGGGCCTGCAGAGTCTCCAGCGGGGCTCGGGAGCAAAGACAGCCATCCTGGGGCCCGAACTCTGGAGTTGCCACCTCCGCTGAGACCACGGTATGTGGCACACAGCAAGGAGACAGAGCCACAGGGTGGACAAAGCCGCTCTGCCACAGCCTGACCCTCCCGAGCCTCAGTTTCATCATCTCAGAAATGCACCGGTACCATCCCGAGAACTATGTTCATGTGGGGCTGTGGAGAGGCCCTGTGTGGGAGCTCTGAACAGAGTCAGCTCTGCTTTGCCCTAGAGGACTCATCCTCTCCAGCACATAGCACAGTAGGACCCTCGGCAAATATTTGTTCATTAAAATGAACCCAAAGCATGTGAGACAAAGGTGCTAACGTTTGTCTTGTGATGAGGGCGTGTCCTGGGTGGATTGGTTTAGTCTTTTCTTCCCTTTTTTCTTTTTCAGGCCAGGGGATTGATCACAGGGCCTAGCCTTTGTACATGCTAGGCCAGTACTTTATCTCTGAGCTGCATCCCCAGCCTGGTTTTTATTTTGAGAGATAGGATCTCACTAAATTGCTTGCCTGGCCTCAAACTTGCAGTCTCCCTGCCTCAGCTTCCCAGTAGCTAGGATTCCAACCACTGCACTCAACTTCACTAAATCTTTAAGCAAGCATGGGGGTTCTTCTTCCTGGAATAGAAAACACATCTGAAACACCAAGAAATAAAATTTGCCTGAAGTCCCTCAGCTGCCTGGGGATGGTGTCAGGATCCGAACCCACGAATGCTGGTTCCAGAGCCTGAGTTTTCCCACAGAGCTCCCTGGCAGGGGGTAAAGGAGGAGGAGTGACCCTCCAGCCCCCATCAAGCACCAGGGCACAGGGGTCTAGGCTGGGCTCAGCGAGGGCTCTGGGAGCTTCTGGGAGAGGCAGGGTGGGCGGGGCCGCTGGTGACCCCCGAGTAGTCAGGGTGATGACCAGAAACACTGGCCGGCTGTAATGACAGGGTGTGAATCCGCAATGGCTTCAGGCGGCCCAGACACCTGGACTCAGCAGATCTCAGCCTTGTGGGCGTCTCCACTGAGCAGAGAGGATGTGGCCCCAATCTGAGGGCACTATTCCCAGTCACTGCTAACACCAACCCTGCTTCCTGCTTCCAGGGGGTCCCTGGAGCCCTTTGTCCCACCCGAGTCCCCAGGTGCCCCTGTTCCCTCCCTCCCTGCTCCCCCAAGGCCACACACCAGCACCTTCCTGCTACCTGGCAGCAGCAGGATTCTCTATGCAGTGGCATGGTCCTAAGGCCCAGGAGGAAGCTGGCATCCAAGATGGGGCCCCAGGCCCAGCTAATCACATCTGCCCCACCCTGGCCCCCACGGGTCTCTGCTGCTGAGCTGGCTGTGACCCTCTTTGCTCCACTTCCTGCAGCCACTGAGCTACCCAGTGCCAAGGAGTCTCATTCTTTCTTTGCACTTCGCATTGTTCAGGCCTCTCCAAGTACCTGTTCTGGGCCACTGTGCTCAGGGCAGCAGCTGCCCACAAGGCCCCCTGAAGAGGTAGGGAGGAGGCCCAGGGCAGTGACCCTGCAGAGCCTGGGCCAGGCTTGCATGTACCCCAGCCTGTGGGGCAGCGTCTGGCCCACATCGTCACTGCACGCTCATGCAGCACACGGTGCCAGGCCCTACTCCTCAGTCCTGTGCACAAACCAATGCATCCCATCTCACAAGCACTTTCTCAAGTATTCCTCCTTTACTACCAACCTTATCACCATGCCAACACTACGCTTTCAGAGACAATTCAAAGGCATGTAGCCCCAGTGTTCTCAGTACACCCAAGAAATTCTTTTGTGCTTTGTTAAGAATGACCCAAGACTACAAAAATTCCTAACAGGGTGACGTCTACTTTACAGCTTTCTTTAGCCATCACAAGGAAAAACAATCCCTCCAAGGCCCTGGAGGTGAGATGACAGGGGGTGTGAGACAGAGGCCAAGGACCAACTGGGCCAGCCTCACGGTGTGAGCAGCGTGAGCAGCTTCGCTTCCCTTTCTGTGAAAGGCCCTGGCCCAGTTATAATAGGACGTCTGTCCTGTCCCTCTACACTGGAGCCCATTCCCGAACCATACTCTCTCCGTGCACTTTCAACTCATGCTTATATTTCAAAATAAATCGTGTGATGAACCTGTAACTGTATCAATGTCTTGCATTGTTTGGGATTAAAAGGGCCACGTCTGTAAATATAGAACATAAAGTATTGCAGTCTTTTTTGCAGCCCTTTTCGTTCATTTGCATGTAATTCACTGAAAATTCCCTGGGATGGTTGCCTGCTCCTTGCTGCTGCCCCTGTCCTGTCCCTGTTCCTCCAGCTCAGAGTGGAGGCAGCAGGGGTAGGTGGGGCTGACTGAGGACAATGGGGGAATGAGGGTGCAAATGGTACTGAAACCCAGTTTGTTCCAAGTCTCCTGTGTGTCACAGCAAAAATCCAGAGGTTTGCCTTGATGCCCCTGGGGACTTGGACTCGCTTCAGTGAGACAGCTGAACGATTCGGGGAGGTGTGGGGTGGGAATTTGTTTAGCACCCAAAACCAAAAACTTTTCCAAAGCATGTCCCCCTTGCCACCCATTTACAAGATTTCAGAACCTAGAAAAAAGATCATAATCGGCTAGCATGGGACAGAAGATTCTGTCAGTCAGTCTTTAACAACTGGAAACAATGGCCGCTGTTGAGGGACACTTTTCTAAGAATACCCGACAAAGGACAAGTTAAAGAGCTGGCAGAACAGGAGGGGAAGGGAAAGAGTGAGAAACAAGGCCCAGAGCAATCAGTGCTAACATGAAAACCTCCTGGGGAACCTGGTCAGAAAGAGAACTGAAATCCACAAGCTGTCCCCAGAAACCCACAAGGAAGAAAATCCCAACTCTCCTCCCTTCAGTGCCAGCTACCTGTGGCCTCAGGGAGCCTGAATTAACTCCGTCACAAAAGTCCCCCTCTTTCTGGCCTGAAGGCTCTCAGTTCCCAACCTAACCACCCTGCCCACATCTCAATGCCTCCTGCCTGGTACCTTCTGCTCTCCAAATAGACAACTGTGGGCTTTGCTTGTCCAAGACAATGGAAGGATAGGCCCCCAGCTGCTGGCCTGTAAGGATAGGAAATGCACCTGGTCCAGGTTTGGTCACCTCAGATAAGTAGCTGCAAACAAGCCTGGTAGCACAAGGAAGTCAGGCCAGACACATCGCATCCCCCAGCAGTACCAGGAGCCTGGGGCTGTCAGGCAGAGAGCGGCTGCAATGGTCCTGTCACAAGCTAGTCAGTGGCCTAACCAAAAAGCCAGGAGGCAGGCTTGACAGGTTAGTAACACTTCACTAATAGTGTCGCAACAGGACTTGTCACAAAAGCAACCACGGGGACAATAAGATGAGAAAAGAATCTGAAAACTTCGGGAAGGTTTGTTATTATTTTCTCTTTTGCAACGGTCGGCGTCGAGGGGGGTGGAAAAGAATTGAGGAGAAGTAGTCAAGGTGCTTGGAAGAGGAGCTGGCGGCAGGGCGGCATACTCACCTCCGCAGGTAAGGGACCCAAGGCGGCACCAGGTAGCACGCCGCGGCTGCCCGGCTATATATAAGGAAGGTGTTGCGCAAAGCGACCGGCCCCGGCGCTGTCATCACGCCCCTCGCACATTCCAGGACCGCCTGCTGCCGCCGCAGGGGCACTGCCTACCTGCAGGCGTGCGGCGCGCATGGTGACCTCGCTCGCTCGCTGCGCCAGGGAAGGCGGGCGGCGCGGCCGCGCAAACGGCTGGCACCGCGCGCCTCCCGACCTAGGCGCTCCAGCTCGGTCCCTGCTCGGGTCCCCGCGGGGAGCACGCGGGGCGGGCCTCGCCCAACCCCCTGCCTTCTCCTCCCCAGCCAACCTTCCGTCTCCACCTCCAGGCCAGGAGAGGAGGGCAGAGTCGCTGAGACAGATAAAAGCCAACTGGAAATTCAGGGACAGACTGACACAAAGCCGGGATTGTTGGAAGTGTCTGCAGTCCGGACGGGACGGGCGCATAGATGCTGGGCCAGCTTGGCTGTGGGGCTATGCCTGCCCGCCTGAGAAGGGCCGGGCCTGCTGAAGAAGGGAAGGGGCTGAGACGCACTCCTGGAGCCAGGCCTGCCTTTCGGGCCCTCTCCCCTGTGTGTCCATCTTTCTCCTTCCTGGTCTGAGGAGGTGACCTGTCCTCCCAGGAGGCCCATCCTGGTGCTGTCCTAACAGCTCCCATGGTGCCAGGTGCTGCTGGAGCCACAGTGACCCCAGCCTACACTTAGAAGCTCTTCCTGGGGCTGGGAGGAGCTCCTTTCTAAAAGCCTAGGCAAGAGGAGTTGGGGGGCACAAAATGACCCAGGACTGGCCTAGCAGGGCCAAATCAGGGTCTTATTTTGAAACCCAGGCTTTTCCTCCTGCCTTGCATGAGGCTTAGCCTGTTTGCTAGTTGCAGGCTGTTGGCAACCAATTGTAGGGCGCCCTACTGAAGCGGGTGGTTTCGTTCCAAACCAAGAGGCCTGAGGAGTCCAGATCGCTGGTGATTAAGCTCAGGCACTTGGGGCCAGAAGGCCTGAAATGAATCCCTCTTCTACAACTGGCTTTCCTGCCTCCATTTGCTCGTGTGTAAAAATGGGAATAATGATCTCTGCTAAAATATAACACAGAACAGCGTCTGCCAGGTAGTGCTCAGGACTTGTTAGCCATCCTGGCTTCACAGGGAACTTCCGGTGTTGGAAGAGATGGGTGGGGAGCTTGGGCTGGGCTGAACCGAAGCTTGGGGCTGTTCCCGGCAGCCCCAAGGCCAGGACTCAGTGCTTGGAAAGTGGCCACTGGAGAAATCAAATCAGCCTAGTGCCTGTGAAAGGGGTGGGGTTTCCCTAGTGGGCACTGGAACTCAAAGCCAACTCTGAGTCAATGACTTTTAAAGTACACTCTGCCCGTGACAAGAATCTACCCACATGGGACGGAAAGGAAGGTGGCTGTCCCTCTGGCTGTCCCTCTGCGTCAAAGTGAAGGTCAAGGCCAGGTGTGGTGGCACACGCCTATAATCCAGCACTTGAGAGGCTGAGGCAGGAGGATCACTTTAAATTTGAGGCCAGCCTGGGCTACACACTGAGTTCAAGGCCAGCCCAAACTACATTGCAAGACCCTGTCTCATCAAAAATATAGACCAGTTTTCCCAATTCATTTCAACATTCTTTTTTGTCCCTACTGCTGTGCTATAAGGTAGAATTTGATAGAGTAAGCATCATTAATGTAGAGATTGAGGCTCAGGCCACTTTGCTGAGTCTTGTCTAAGGCTACTTAACCAGTTCCATAGAGTCGAATATCACTGATACGGGATCAGAATCCCTCGGTTCAGAAATAGAGAACCCAGGACATGCATGGGCACCAGAGGTACAATATCACTGCAGAGAAATAGTGGCAAAGAGCACCTGAAATCAATGGATGTCCTTTCGGAAGGCCTACCTCACACCGGACACATGTGTATTTAGATGTAAAAAGCAAAACAATAGGAACTGGGGGTTTAGCTCAGTGGCACCGCACCTGCCTGGCAATTGCAAGGTTGTGAGTTTGATTCCCAGAACCAAAAAAAGAAAAAGAAAGCAAAACAATAGGACTTCCAGAAGCCAATGCTGGCAAACATTCGCGAACCCAGGGTACAACAAGTCTCCCTAAGGGCATAAGGTTTGGTGAGATACACCCAGATCATAACGTATGCTCCTTGTCACAAAATTCAATTTCATTCACAAGATCCAAGGTGCACTCAGGACCATAACCGTAAGTGAAATAAATCCGACACCAAGTTTCAATATCACATTGTTTCTCTTGTGAGAGACCCAAAGTGTAATTAAGGAGCAAAGTAGAGGATGGCTTTTGAGAAGTAGGAAGAACTTGTTCAAATGGAAGGGGAATAAGGGAGGGCAGAGTGAAGGGGAAAAGGGATTTTAAGAGAATTAAAGGAAAAAATGGAAACAGAGCTTTTGTAACTTGAGAAAGGAAGAAGGGTTGAAGGGGAGTGGAGTGGGGAAAAAAGATATATTCTGAAAAAGTACAAATTCCCCATGATGAATGGAATGTGATCAATATGTATGCCTAACATGTACTAATAAAAAATTAGTTATCTGGATATAGTGGCACACATCTGTAATCCCAGCACTTGGGAGGCTGGGGCAGGAGGATCACCTCAGATTTGAGGCCAGCCTGGACTACACAGTGAGTTAGTTTGAGGCCACTGTCTCAAAAAAAAAGAAGAGAAAAAGAAAGACAAAAAAGGAATAGGAGTGGCATGAAAATCCACTCCTGAGCATTAACCCGAGAAATGTATACACATGTTCACAAAAACAACACCTGAAACTTCGAAGCCTCGAAAAGGTTCCCGTGCCCATATTCACGACAGAATGGAATGTTAATGGGGAACACAAACAATAGTCAAAGGTGACCAGATAATACATAGCAATGAATTTGCCACCTGCACCTAAATGGACGCCTCTCACAAACAAGACGTTTTCACAGAAGCCACACATGCTGTTCAGTAACATGGACATGGCATTCCCAAACCAGCCAGAGCTACTGGAGGACCACAGGAGGAGAGTAGGCACCAATCAGGTCCTGGCTGTGGCAGGCCAACTACATACTCTACCACTGAGTTATGTTCTCAGCCCTTTTCTTTCCTGTTTTGTTTTGACATAGAATCTCACTAAATTACCTATGCTAGTCTCAAACTTGAGATCCTCCTGCCTGCCTCGAAAGCAGCTAGGATTAGGAATGTGCCACTGCGTCCAGCTCTTTGTCCTTTTTATTTTTGTACTTTTAAAAATAAATGCACACTGCTGCTCTGTGCCAGACACTGTCATTGATGAGCAAATTGAGTTACAGAAATTAACTCTTGCCCTAGGTCACATTAAGTGAGTGACACAGCCCAAATTTAAACCCATATAGTCTGGCTCTGCTGTCTGTACTACCTAAAGTCTCAGCAGCTTCTCTATGTCACCATGTTTACAATTTTATTTGGCTTCCTATTGGTATATTCACATTTAATTGAAACAAAACTACACAAATTTTTAACCCATTATGTGATGTTTAAAATTGAAGCCAGATGCTGTGGCACACACTAGTAACGCCAGTTACTCAGGAAGCTGAGACATGAGGATCACTTAAGCCTAGGATTTGGGGGCCAGCCTGGGCAACATAGGGGGACCCCATCTCAAAAATCAAACAAATAAAACTGAGGCCTGGGAGCAATCTGAATTTAACCTCTTGATGATCTTTAATCATTTTACAAACCTCATGACACCCCCATAGCTCCATAGTGTCTCAGAACTGTATTTCCATTCTACGTAGCCCCAGGCAGTGCTGTGCTTGAATGTTTCCTGTGTGAGTGACTTTTGGAGCAGTTTTCCTGCTTCTTGCTTCATGGCATTAGCAATGGAACTGTTCTTCGGCACTTGACCCATCACCGTGTAAAGTGACAACTTCCCATGGCATCGTCTGATGTTGGCTTGCTAAGCAGTCTAGTCTTTTGTGCAGTAAGAAAAAGAGCTCATCTTACTTACCCATCCAACTACCCAACCTTAAAAGTGCTTGTAAAGGAAGAGTGACCCTGAGAACCATCTTTTACTGCCAAGGCTTAACAACACCTACTTTAGCTAATCAGAAACTTTCTTTACTACCTAGGCCTGGGCTAGGCTGTAAATAGTAACTCCCAGTTTTCAAGGACCTACCACTAGTGCCCCTGTATTACAGGCTTGCTCCAGAGAAATATTGGCAAAGGCCATCTGAGATAAATGGCCATCCACATGAAGCAAACACAATGACGCCCTACCTGTGAACCAAAGTAACTTTCTTCATGACTGCCCTGTAGAGTGTCTTGGGCCATCGTGAAGACAATCATGATGGACCAGATTCGTCACTCCAGGCCTCACAGCCTGGTGGTGGCCAGGAGTCCAGGGCAGAGGAGAAAAGTGGCTTCGCCTGCCATTCTGACTATCTCTCTCCTTCCTTCCTTTACGCGTGCCCCAGGGCCTTTGCCCAGGCTGTCCTGTCTTCCTGAACTCTCATCCCAGCCTTTCACATGGACACTATTCCTCATGTCCACCCTCGAGCTCCTCTGAGTGTTTCCTTGCTTCCTGCACTATCACAATGTCTTTATCTCTAGTTGATTACTAGGTGACTTTTTCCCACCGCAGACCTCTAAAGAAATGGCCTTCCAGTCCAGCAATTAGGATTTGGGGTCCAAAGTGCTCCCCAATCCTTATCTCACTCTGAACTTGAACAGTGTTGACCCTGGGGATGCAAAGCTGGCCTGTATGCCTTTTGATCACATTTAAAATTCATGAGGACAGATCAACTCAAAGGGCCAAATGAGAAGTGGAACTCAGGCTTTCTGTTCGAGTCTGGGTCCACTCAGCCTGCACAGAAAAACCTCTCAACAGCCTTCAGGGCACTTGAAAAAGTGTAGAACCCAATGTGGCTGGAGCTATGAAAAACAAAAAGGTGTTGTGTGTGAGATCTAAGACAGTGCCAGCCTGCGAACAATGGGAAAAGTGGGTCTCCCCGCCATGGCTCCTAGGTACCTCATGACCCTCCCAGAAAGGGATCTGTATGTATTTAGATGCTGGAAGAGGCAATACTTACAGAGACAAACAGTTGGAAACTACTTAAGTGAATATACAACTTCAAACTTCACAATCTTATTCACACTAAGATAAATCACAGCGCTGTAATGTAGGTGCTTCAGTTTGTGTATCTTTTTTTT